CTCTCTCTCTCTCTCTCTCTCTCTCTCTCTCTCGTCTTTTTGCTTTATTTTTCCTTTTTGCTATCAGGTTCCTTAAAAGAAGGACAACATTATAGAAAAACTTGTACTTTCTCCAGCCAAACGCCAGCTTGTGCTTGTGGCATATGCCTGAAGTCTGCGCTCAGAAGGTAGAGGTAGGGGAGAAGCCCTGCCCCAAGGAGCATAAACAAATAAGGGAGAGGGAACCCTATACATGCAACCCAATTATGTTCAACACACAAGTCTAACTCTATTTTTTTTAACGACTTGTTTTCTTAAAGGAAAAATGAGATTTGAGGCGGGGGTTATGTCCAGAGGCAGTTTAAGAGATGTAATTGCACAGTAGTGTAATGTATATTCCTGTGGATGTAATGTGTTAGGTGGCATTCATCCATAAAATGGGCACATTTGATTTGTATTCTACATGGTGTTGTGTTAGGGTGGCTGTCTCAGTGATCATGAATGCTTACCTTTGAGGAGCTCAGTCTCATTGAATAAGACAGGCAGAGCATACTGATCACCCGGCCACAGCAAAGGTGTCCTGTCGTAACCTGTCCTCCCTCAGTTCTTCCTGTGCAGCTCTGTTTTAGAATCCCGACCATTGCAGGGACAAATGCATTCTGTCTCCTCCTGCCACAGGACTCTACACCTGCTGTGGCCCTTGGCCTTGGGTAAATACCCACCCCCATCTTCATTACTTGTTAATTTTTAATTTGCTCTTGATCAGCGCATCCATTTCCTGTGAAAATTTCCCCAACCCCCAGGCTGGATTCTTTACTGTAAATGTGCATGTCAGTTTGCAACTAGCTTCGTTGATAATATCTGATTCCTTTATCCAACTTGAGCTTCTGGTGGACGGGAGCTATGCTGCTTTTATAGAGCCTGTTTCCCTGGACTTAGCACACAGTTGGTACTTGGTTGGATATTTGCAGAACGTATTTGTTGGATGAATGATTGAGCCAATGAATGCAGATGCTTCTGTGGGAGAAAGGAACTGTGAACCCATCCTCAGGGGATGGAGAAGTCCTCAGGGAGGAGGGGTCACGAGAGTCACTTCTGCCAACTGAGGCACATGCAACAGGTAAGGCGCTTCTCAGAGGAGGCTCATCTGTTCTGTTAGCAGAGCACAGGCTGTGTGTGGCCGTCCCTGCAGAGGTGGCTGAAGGATGGGCTGAAAGCAGCATTGGGGGCTGGTCTCTAAATCATGTTTGTCAGAACAACCACCGAGGCACCACTAAAAGCTTAAAAGTAAAAAACGAGGAGCTGGTGTTGCTAGACTCCCATTATAGGATAATAATGTTGGCAAGTAAGTGGACAGTGGGTTTAATAAATAGAGTTTCTGGGAGGAAGATGGTCAGTTAGAGATGAAGGCAAATGAGGTCTACTGAGGGAAGGAGTACCAGGTGAAAGGAGGGGACTGGAAGGAAGACTGGTCCCTGTTAGTGAATCGAGCTTTGTTGTAAACCCACTTCTCTGAATTATAAACCCTGATTACAGTGTGAGATAGTGTTTAGGCTGGATTCTGTCCTGGCACAAGAATTGGAGTGTCCATGGTTTATTTTGGAGGTAATCCCAGGAAGCTTTGGTTGACAATTAGGAAAGTAAGACGGAAAAGTGCTAGGAGCCAATACAGGGTGCATTAAAGAGAGGACTAGAGGGTTGCCACACTGGATGAGTGGGGTTCAAACCATAGGAGACCTTTGGGAGACACTGTAGATGGAATAAACCTCAGAGCTGTCTCATCCAGGGAGTAAGGAAATAGCTATTTATTTACTAAACTCCAGGCCAACAGCTGTTCCTGGAAGTGCACCCTCTGTCCTGCCCCCAGTGTTTGGGCAAAGAATCCCCAGGCAGAGAATCCAGCTACTCTATGTGGGGGAATATCATTTTGTCCATGAAGTGGTGAGTTCCAAGGGGACGCTTTGGTGCTAGTAACACATGCAATGTGCAGTATTGTGTCAGCTGTGTCTACCGTTCTAGACATCGAATGTGTTATGTGATTTGATTCTCAGAATAACTTCATGAGACAAGTATCACTACTTCCACTTTACAGAAAGGAAACTGAGAAGAAAAGTAAATCATCGCACCCAAGAAACACATTGGATCCCTTAGCGAATGTAGAAAACTGACTCCAAGTTCACATTCTTAAATTTTCATCATGTGTATTGATTTGACTAGGTCAGATCAGTTCTGCCCGGTTGATATTACTCCACAGAATTTTTCAGATGTGTCTGGTCTTTGCTTGGGCTTCTAATATCTTGATTTCACCAATGTCTTTTGCGCTGTTAATGTTTTCCTTTGACACGAGTAAAGTAAATCTACTTTGTAGTTAGTACACAGCATATTTAAGAGAGAATGTTTATCTCAGATAGTGTGTTAAAGGGAATATAATTATTCTTTACGAGGGAATCTTAAGGCTGTTAAAAAAAATCCCAGGTTGTCATTGGTACACCGACTACCACACCAACCCAGAGGAGACACATCACACTCTGAGCTACTTGGGGGAAAATACCAACCCTTGAGTCCAAATAACACTATCAGTAAGTATTCTCAAGTCTGCTTCTCTCTGGTAGACTGTGGTAAGACCTATACTCTGGCATATGTCTATATAAACATAGTAAATCAAATTTTAATTTGTTAAAATGGATTTACGTGGGTATTCACTCAGAGGGTTTCAATTGTGAAATACCTTATAGGGTAAGGTCTAACAGTAACCACTGCTGGTGAAATTGAAACTCAGCTCTGTGAACTTGAAAATGGCCCCCCCCGGGGGGGGGGCAGAGAAAGTATTAAAGTTCATTTAGAGAGAGACAGAGTATCATAGGTGAAATCTAGCAGTTTCGTTCAGTGGACATATATTAAGAATGGGTTGGCCTAAAGAAAATTATTCTTACCTTAGACAGCAAGATGATATAGGAAACAATATTCATATTTTCTTATATAATTTAAACGACTCATCAGATTTTCAGAGAAATCTATCACTAGTCTGATGATCAGTATGTGTGGCTATATTTTAAAAAATATTTTATTTTATTTTATTTTACTTTACTTTACTTTACATGTATGAGTGCATTGCCTGCATGCATGTAAGTGCAGCCATGTCATTCAATGTCCTTGGGAGTCAGAAGAGGGCATTGGATCCCCCGGAACTGGAATTATGGACAGTTGTTAGTCATCATATGGGTGTTAGGAACCAAACTCAGGCCCTCTGCAGGAGCAGTCAGTGCTCTTAACTGCTGAGCCATCTCTCCAGCTCCCTCAGCTATGTTTTTAATAGTGTTTATTGTATTGCATCACATTAGTCAATTTGCAGAATAATCCTGTGCCTTGGGAACTACTACCCCTATTTTACAGAGGAGAGATTTGGAAAAAGAAAATGAGTAGTTTTCCCAAGATCACCTGCTTGCTAGGGCAGAGTTGGGATTTCGAATGGGAGCCATATCACTCTGGAACATCGATCCCTAACCATTACACTACATTTTAAAAAAACTTTTACAAAAACTTTGAGAATTTAATACATGCATATAAGGTGTTTTGATCAAATCCATGCCCACTCCCTCCCCTCCAACATTCCCCCCTCTGAAGAGGTAACCCTAAAATCTTTTAAGGATTAGATACAAGCTCCCAAATACTTTTGACATTTTTGGCCTTTGGAACAGAGTATGTTGCTAACAAGCCCAAGGA